CAAGCGCATGCTGTTAGGAGCGATGGCGGGGGGCGTGGGATACCGGGGCGGGCAGGAGAGCGACTGGGTATATCGTCTAGGAGAGGACCTCGTGGCCGTCAACATGGGAGACGAAAAGGAAGGGGAGTAAATGAAAAGAGAGCACCAAGGGTCCTGAGGTGTGGTACAACAAGGTCGAGGACGGGGCGGCATGGTTCATGAGGAAATGGCACAGGCAGGAGGCGGAAGCGTCCGCGAAGCGCCAGCGCGCGAGGGAAGCAGAAGCAGAGAGTACGGCCATCTCAGGACCGAAGAGAAAGAGAGCCGGGAAGCGGCAGTGGGGGGGAAGAAACGACGACCGGGCACTGCTGTAGAAGCGAGTAGGGCGGCCGAGGCAACACTTGTGGCGAACTATGTACCCGGCTGATATTGTTGCGCCCTGTTTCCCTCCCGGCTGTATGCAATACTCCTTTATGTATGTCCTTTGTATTGCCTTCGGCCTCTGTGCTGTGTTGCTTTCTTTCATGACCTCCCTGCCTACTCTGCTGTGTTGGGTACCGTGATGTCGCTTTGCTGTTGCCTTTGGTTTTGTACGTCTGGCTGTCTACCCATGTGCCGCCTCTTTGTCCTGTTTGCTCCGTTACTCCCATGCCCTGGTGCGTAGTGCCTGGTGCTGGTACGTTACCCTTTGATTTTTCTTTGGGCGGGTGTGGAAAGCGTCCTCCTTTTTTTTTGTTTTTGTTTTATTTTGATCGGTTTCCGAGGGCTCCTTTCTTGAACGGTCGCTGCGATACCTGTTCTTTTCTTTCTATCATTTTGTTTTCTTGTTCCGAGTGGTTTGTACCCTATTTTTGTTTTGTTTCCCCGCGGCGTCGTATGTGCCGGGTTTTGAGACCACGGGCTCCCCATTTTTTGTGGACTATAGAGCTATTGTGAGAAAAAACAACAACAACAACAACAACAACAACAACAACAACAACAACAACAACCCACGACCCGCCTCCCGCGTGCGCACGCCACACCTTTTATCTTCGTTCGGTATCTGCAGGTACGGGTGCCCACTCCTGTTCATAGTGGGCGTGGACGACGAAACCGCACGTGGGTCTTGGGACAGGGCGTGCTGCGGTCGGAAAGCACCGAAACCTTCAAGTGGTTTTTGCACTCGTACGAGGAAGCTGCTGGTGGACGGAGGCCAAAGGTGGGCTAAGCAACCCGAACCCTGTAGACGGTTGGAGCCTAGAGCTGTCCATGGTGGGCGTGGACGGATATTTGGCATGCACAGTTGCCAGCTCTGGAGTCGACAACGCGTATCACATGTCGTCCATTCGCACCTCCTTGTGTCTACGCCGACTTAGTACTTCCCCTACACCATATGCCAATGAAATAATTTTGTAGGGGCGTGTGTGCCTTCGTCTCTTCTTTCGTGCCGGATTCGTATAGGTCATGCTGACCGACGCAGACCAGGCCATGGCCGCGGCCTTGAGGGAGTGGAAGACCACCGTGCACCTGTGGTGCTTGTGGCATCTCAACAAGAACGTGGTCCAGCACTGTTCCTCGTCCTTTTCTGACACGAAGACACGGGAGAAGATGCTCCGTCTATTCAGAAACGCTGCGCACGCCGCTACGCCGGAGGTGAGATTAGTGTGGGCTGCAGTTGCTTCTTATCTTTCTGGCGTCCTTCATGTTCTGCATTGCCGCCTCTGCCCCGACTACGTGAGTGGGTGATTTAACCTCGGCCACGTCGATCGTACGTTCGTTGCAGGCCTTCTCTACGTACCGGGCTGACCTGGAGAGGACCGTCAGGGGCAAGAAGTGCGACCAGTACATCCGGGACCTTCTCGAGTAAGTAGTGGTGCCGTAANAGTGGAAGACCACCGTGCACCTGTGGTGCTTGTGGCATCTCAACAAGAACGTGGTCCAGCACTGTTCCTCGTCCTTTTCTGACACGAAGACACGGGAGAAGATGCTCCGTCTATTCAGAAACGCTGCGCACGCCGCTACGCCGGAGGTGAGATTAGTGTGGGCTGCAGTTGCTTCTTATCTTTCTGGCGTCCTTCATGTTCTGCATTGCCGCCTCTGCCCCGACTACGTGAGTGGGTGATTTAACCTCGGCCACGTCGATCGTACGTTCGTTGCAGGCCTTCTCTACGTACCGGGCTGACCTGGAGAGGACCGTCAGGGGCAAGAAGTGCGACCAGTACATCCGGGACCTTCTCGAGTAAGTAGTGGTGCCGTAAATAAAATCAAGCGCGCGAGTCATGCTGCGTAACAGCCGTGCGAACTTGCTGCACCTGTTCCGTAGCAGAGGAAAATGTTGATCTCGTGCTGGTGCTGTGAATGGAGAAAACGAAGTGGGCCTTCTCCTGCCGGCCGACAGCGCTCACGCTGGGCATGCTTGCCACGCAGCGCACCGAGGGCATGTTCGGGGTGGCGAAAAAGTTCGGGATACACAAGAAGCTGTCTCTGTGCGCTCTGTGAGACCGCCTCCAACATGTGTACCAGACAATGGACATTGAGCACGGCAGGTGAGATGAACTGAACCCGGACCTGTAGAGGTGCGAACTCCGCTTTTACTACGTCAATGTGCGACGGTGCACTTGGGCGCGGGTGCTTCGCCTCGGTGACATCCTCGGCGAAAGTAATTGTCGAAGATCAAGTCCTCAGTTGAAGCCTCCTCGACCGTGAGCTCTGACGAGAGTTTGCCCNTGCGAACTCCGCTTTTACTACGTCAATGTGCGACGGTGCACTTGGGCGCGGGTGGTTCGCCTCGGTGACATCCTCGGCGAAAGTAATTGTCGAAGATCAAGTCCTCAGTTGAAGCCTCCTCGACCGTGAGCTCTGACGAGAGTTTGCCCTAGCACGCCTTCAACTTCCTTCCGAAGCGGAAGCTCACAGGAGTGCAATTCACTTGCGGACATTCCGGTTGACCTCGTTCGTCTAGGGTTGCAAGCCCAGTCGTGAAAGCGGAGTTGGCTTTTCAGACGAAGCACTTGGAGGGGTTTCTCGCCCCGATCCGGGAGGAGCTCGAAAGTGTTGGCGCCAGCCAATACTGCCAACTGGTGAGAAGTTCGGAGAGTTTTCCGGTTTCCTTTTCCTTCTTATCCCTGCCGTCTGTAAGTTGAACATCCACGTTTCCCCGTGCGCAAGACAGTAACATGCGNATCCGGGAGGAGCTCGAAAGTGTTGGCGCCAGCCAATACTGCCAACTGGTTAGAAGTTCGGAGAGTTCTCCTGTTTCCTTTTTCTTTCTTATCCCTGCCGTCTGTAAGTTGAACATCCACGTTTCCCCGTGCGCAAGACAGTAACATGCGCGCAGTCGATACATCTACCCGTTTGGATCCCCTTCCTGGTGCGTACCGTACTGTTTTCCCGGGGAAGCAACCCTACCACATCACAGTGCGCCCCTGTCCACTGCACTCTGCAGGAGGCTAAGGACGAACTCGGAGGATCTCAGTCGTACGACGTAGAAGTCATCTGCGTAGGAGCGGCGGACGACAAAGGCCACCCCGTGCCTCTGGAGGGTGGTGTCCTGCGTCAACAGCTTGAGGCCGCACACTTCGACTTCAATCTTTACGAGGAAGCGCCGCCCGACACTGACATGGAAATCGACTGCAAGCTTGGCCCTGAGGCTGAATCGACCGAAGACAACACCGTTTGGGCGCGTACGTCTTTGGAGGCGCCGTTGGACCTCGTCAGCCGAGTTCCCGTCCATCTTGCCGCCGCCGTGCGGTACAAGCTCACGCCTTCACGGCCGGGCCATGTTGTGGTAGTCGGCCCGGGTGGCTTCTACTTGTGCTCTTGTCTGAAGTTTTTGCGCCATGGCCTACCATGCAGGCACTACTTTGCCGTGCTAGTTCGCTTCATCGGCGGCAAGTACGGGGGAGTCCTGCTTAACCACGAGTTCGACGGCAACAGCGTGCACACGCGCTGGCGGCAATCACCAGACGGCAGCGACGCGCCCTGGACCGCCTCCAGAGTGTTGGAAGGGGCAGGGCACGGCGACGGCTGGGATGGATGTGACCACGGCCAAGACGACAACTTCTGGGGGCCGACGTACGACGACGACGGCGGGGAGGGCGGCGTGCACCCCGCAGAACGTGCGGCAAAAGCAGTCGCGGATCGATCGGGGAGTGACCATCGCCGCGTGTTCGCGACTCTGATGGCCAAAAACAAGGAAAACGTCACCGAAATAATGAGGACGGTTCCACACGCCAAAGCCTTGGAGATACAGGCTGAACTGGACAAGTGGGTGAGGTTCGAGCTTGCCGAAGCTACCGGCGAGAACAAGAGCGGGAATCCAGCGCAGGTAAAAGCGAAAGGGAGGCCTAAGAAATCCAAGTCGGAGGGATCAAAGCAGGACCGACACGATGACAACGGTGCGCCTGCCGACAGCGGGTCTGTTCAACCAGTCGGTAACCCGGAAGGGCGGAGGGACAAGAGCCGGAGGGAAAAGATGATCAAAGACGTCTCTGGTGCTGGGTCTGGAGCAAAGACCCGTCGGCCTACCAAAGAAAAAACGTCGTTGCGTACATCACGTAGTCCCTAGTAACAAATCTACGGCCGGGGCACATAGATAGTCGAATCGTGCGCCGCCCTTGTCATCTCGTTCCCGGCGTTGCCAGTCTATATCACCTCTTGCGTGCTAACGCTGCACAGCTACTGGCGGACGTTGCAGGCTAAGCCTGATTTCAAGGAGTGATGCCGTGGGCGGTATCTTGCTCCTAGAGATAGATGAAGGTTCTGTCGTTGACACGCTTGTCCACGACCACTTTGAGATGGGGAAGTTGCTTGTTATTGCCGAGAGACGATCAGCAAAGGGCTGGGATGAAGTGGGGATCCAACTTCATCTCAGGGGGTACACAGAGTATACAATTCTAAGGGTGTAGGGGTCAGAAGGGTATACCTCCTGACCGACCCGCATCCTATCAACAATAGATGTACCCTATTCATGCTAGCAGCCACACTCCTTAACACTACCCCACCCTGAATATCATATATGCAGATTCTATACTCAAATCAATGCTCAAATCCTAGTCTAAAGCTACAGTAAGATTTTAGCTGATGACTTATGATTATGAATCGAAGATATGACTCTTCACAAAGCATCCAAAAGGAGGGTGAGTTGTAGAAATATCCCGAATCTATCCCCCACACCATCATTGAGATGAAGAATGCGAACGGTCACGAGACGGAACATCGACATCTCAATGACAACGCTTGAAGGGATAAAGCTACTAAGAACATATATTGCGGCAGAGCACGCTATCATCCTGAACAGACGACGACAGGAAAAAAAAAATCAATATCCAGATGCCACACACAACTTGTTTTCGCTCACCCGCGCGTATCACCGCTGGAGGAATGAGGGTGACCACCCGAGCGAGTTCAAAATACGGTGACGAAACTCAAATCCCAAGCAAATTTCCGAACGATTACGGCCTTTGATACTAGACGCGACGAAAAAGGAAAACTGAACGCAATCTAGGACGCTAACGAAGGGCAGCAGAAAAGAACGACAGGCAAAGGCACGGAGAACGATGGCCAGCGTGCCAGGGTACCCAACTTGTATAAGGAGGCGGCAGGGGCAAGACCTATTGAGGACCAAGGATGCAAAGCACAAGCGATTAATGTAAGAGTGGCGGTCGACGAGCTGCGCCATGGCTCGCTGGCGATACGCTCCATTCAAAGACATAAACACAGAAAGTCGTAGAGATTCACACAACAAGACGACGACTCAGGGGCGCTACTGTGATGAAGGCGTCGCCCGAAGGTGGCGATGATGGAGACGAAGCAGAACGAAGTGTGGGTGACGACGAAAATCCATGGGAGAAGGCGACGCCACGGGATGGAATCCCGAAGCACCAAGCGTATGCGGCACTTCTGCGGCACGATGGAACAAAAACAAAAAAAATAAAGACAACATTATTAGTTGGCAAACAGGCGAACCAGGAAAACGCGGGGAACTCGGTGTCCAAGTGTCCCGAGGCAAACATCACCGACGAAACTTGGGGAACTCTTTTTCCAAGTGTTCAGCGGCAGATAACACCGACGAAACTTTGGAGGGAGCTTGTTGAGAGAACCAAAGACCAACAAAAAAAAAAACGAAGCAAAGGCGAGGGAGAACGGACATCCAGGTCGCGGCAGTTCACTGATTCAGATCAATGCAGGCAACAAGGAAGAAGGATCACTCGACACTGCGTGTCTCGAGGCGGCGTTGCCCCAGCGTCCAAAACAAAATAAGCCAACGAGAGAAAAGAGAAGAGACAGAAAAACAACNCACCGACGAAACTTTGGAGGGAGCTTGTTGAGAGAACCAAAGACCAACAAAAAAAAAAACGAAGCAAAGGCGAGGGAGAACGGACATCCAGGTCGCGGCAGTTCACTGATTCAGATCAATGCAGGCAACAAGGAAGAAGGATCACTCGACACTGCGTGTCTCGAGGCGGCGTTGCCCCAGCGTCCAAAACAAAATAAGCCAACGAGAGAAAAGAGAAGAGACAGAAAAACAACCAAAACAAAATAAAACAAAACGGAAGGTGACAGAAAAAAAAACAAAAGCAAAAAGTCGGCGAGAAGGATGGCAAAAAATACCAAAATAGGCCAATTGGTATATGAAAACGACGACGCTAAGAGGAAATGGTGGGAACAGCCGACGGTAAGGAGTCAGCAAGGAGCGGAGTGCGACCACGGTTGTCGCCCAGAGGGCGCGAACGATGTTTCTCTAAACACCATGATCCACAGACGGCGTCCAAGGCGGTGGAGTAGAGATGCGCAGGCAGAGGCAGCACGCCTGGGCCCGGGTCATCCAAAAATCGAACGATGTACGAGCCGCCCTGATGAGCACCAATACGTCCGGTCTACCACAATTCATCACGGGCTTTGTACCACAGCCGCGGNCCACAGTCGCGCGCCAACAGGGAGGGGCGAAGTGCTGAAACGGCGAAGCCAAGTCGCATTAAGCACAAGATCAGCCCCAGGAGGCAAATAGCGTTCTCCACGATTCCGGGCTAGCTCCCGCTGTGCCGCGCGAGTCCGAGCCACTCGATATGTACGGTTACCCTGCTTGCTTTGGCAGGCCTCCGGGGACCAGTACAAGAGGATGTGTCGACGGAATAGATCAAGATCGGATTCCCGTTCCCATGAAGGAGTGGTCAGGCCTACCCAATGCGTCTGGTACAGGACAGCGAGAACGCCGCTACGGCCCCGCTTCAGTTGATGTCCCGAGATGTAGTCGACCTCGAGGCGCCCGACAGGCACCGACACATCATCGTGGAAAGGTGGACATTTATCTCCGAAAGAGTTCAGAACATTACGCGAAAGCTCGGCGGGCAGAGATTGCGGCAAGTCGTCCGTCTCGTCCGGATTGAGACAGGGCTTGCAACGAAGGACAGACACGCGACAACGAGCTGCCGGGCCGGAAAGATCGGAAGGCAGGTCCAGGTAGAGGAGTTTACGCGCCAACGGGCGGCCGTCCGGAGTGGCGTCGGCAGAGGTGGGACCCACCGCAAGAACTTTGTAGGGCCCCGTCCAGGAAAGTGCGAGTTTGGCCTTGAGCACCTGTTGGTCCCTGTCCTTCTGCACACCCTGTCGAATCGTAGCAGCGTGTAGTACACCCAAGCCCACCCGCCAACGGTAAACTGAGGGAGCTTGTGAATGGCGTCCAGCAGGGATGAGTTTCGGCGTTCGACTCGCGAAATCTTCAGCGCGTTGTATTCACGGACAAGTTCGTAGGCCCGGCGCTGGCGATCGACAGCCAGGTTGCAATACTCGAGTTGATCGCGGGCCAAGCTTTGATGACCACCCACCGTGTGACNCCGCCAACGGTAAACTGAGGGAGCTTGTGAATGGCGTCCAGCAGGGATGAGTTTCGGCGTTCGACTCGCGAAATCTTCAGCGCGTTGTATTCACGGACAAGTTCGTAGGCCCGGCGCTGGCGATCGACAGCCAGGTTGCAATACTCGAGTTGATCGCGGGCCAAGCTTTGATGACCACCCACCGTGTGACGATCGAAGACCGAAAGCGGGAGTCGCGGGATGCGTTCGATGTGGATCTCGTTTGGCGCTAATCCAGTAGACTGGTTCACGGGATTGTTGTAGGCAAACTCAACGCGCGGGAGATGTATGTCCCAATCGTGTTGCTGTTCGTTGACGGCCACCGCAAGCATCTGGGCCATCGTGTGGTTGACGAGTTCCATGCCGCCGTTGGTCTGTGGGTGGTAGGAGCTGGTCGTGACCTTCTTGATCTTCATCACCTCGTAGATTGCCATGGAGAGCTTTGAGCAGAAATGCAGTTCGTTGTCCGACAATAACGTAGTCGGACATCCCCACTTGGTCATATATTGGTTGACGAAGATGTGAGCCGTCCCTCTCGCCGTAAATTCCGCCGCTGTAACTGCGAACATGTCGGCTCTCCGACTGAAACGGTCTGTGAACAACAAAATGTAGGAGTTGCCCTTGGCAGTCACTGGCAGAGGTCCGAAGAAGTCGACGCCGAAGACCGTACCAGGCCCCTGTGGCAATGGCAGAGCGATCACGGGCCACCGAGCAGTCTGACGTGAAGTCTTGCGAGCTTGACACACCAAACACGCCCGAAGCCACCAGCGCACGGAACGATCCAAACCAATCCACCAGTAGAAGCGCTCGAGCAGACGCTGTGTACGATGGACGCCGAGATGGAATGACGCGGCGGTATGGCATGCATGAAGGACCCACGGACGCATCGGCATTGGCACGTAGACACGGGGCACGCCAGTATCCGGCAGACGAGTGGTCCTGCCGCCAGAGCGCCCAATCGGCGACGTCGCCGATTTATGTACGAGGAGGGTGATGTTGTCATCGGTCGTGTGCAGTCTGGTTTTCGCCGCCAACACAAACACATAATCTAATCGAGGGGAGCGAAGAGGAGTACAGAGAGTGAGCAAGCCCGGAGGGGGTGGGAAGGGGAAACCGTGAGACAAAAAGCGCATAGCCACCACACACTCGCTCTCCCGCTGCTGTTCCCTAGCCCAGTCCACAGTGCTGAAACTCTGAACACAAGCCCGCAAGTGGGAGGTGTCCAAATCAGAAGATTCCGAAAAGAAATCAGGCGATCCAACGGAAGAGGCGGAAGAAGGCGAAGCCTCAGCGACTGGGGCAGCCGCAGTCCGTGGTGATGTCCGCGAAGGGGACATCGTGAGTGGCGAAGTCCCGGGCGAAACCTGTAGAGAAGGCGAAGTCGGGGATGCAGGGCGCGCCGCTGACGGCCAAGACACCGGTGGCGCAAGAGCAGTCGACGAAAACGCCGATGCCGGCGTTGCGGATGGCGGCAGCAGACGCGCGGCGGTCCGGGTGGTCTTGTTTGTCGAGCGGGACCTGCTTGAGCGACGGGCAGGCGACGATGTCCCAGGGACGATGGTAGCCCGCGGCTGGCGTCCGAAAAAGCGGGACCGGTGACGGTGCCTCCGGAAACAGCGGTAGTTTCGGCCCGAGTCCGTGAAGAAATGAGCGGTCCCTGCTCCGGAAGCAAAGACAAAACGTGCACATATCTAGTCGCCAAGGACGCGACAGGAGACATCACGCGGGACGCATCGGAAGTCAATGAGGAAGCAGGACCTGAAGATGCGAGAATAGGCGAGACGATGAAGACCCCCAGGAACCGCCGAGAATTTTCGCAGGCAATCGTTGAGTCCGTCAGAACATCCAACCGACGCGGGTGATGTCGGGCGAAAATCCCCAAAATCGGAGGGCTGCAACGCTGGGGGCGAAAAGACTCCTGCCGTGCAAGGAAGGCGGAGCCCACCCAAACCGACTTCCGGTGTAGACAACGAGTAACAGTTGCGCCCGCAAGCCCAAATGAGGAAAACACCCGCTTGATCGACACCATCAATGCAGTCGGGGCCGGTTTTGTCCGTGTCTTGTGCTGGTAAAGGCAACCGCGAAAGAAAATCCGCGTTGCCGTTTGCCGAACCTTTCCGATATTTCAGGGTGTAGGTGAAGTTGGACAGGAATTCGAGCCATCGTTGCACCCTAGCGTTGTGTTCCCTAACCTTGCCAATGCTCTCCAAGGCTTTGTGGTCCGAATAGATGATGAATTTGGTCGACCACAGATAACCACGAAGGCGTTTGATGGCCCAAAAAATCCCACCAGCCTCCACATCCAAAACGGTCCAGTTAAGCTCCAAGAGTAGCGCGGCTGATGTACACGATGGGTCGCACCGAGCCATCGAGCTGTTCTTGTTCCAGGGAGGCGCCAAAACCGTCGATACACGCGTCGGAACACAAACGAAGAGGACAGCTGTTGTCCTCGATTGCTGCTCAATCCGGAAAGACCAAAATCGGGGGGCGAGTGAGTTTGCTTAACAACGGTTTGATAACCTTGACCATGCCCGGGGTGTACTTGAAGGGGACGCCTTGTTTGACAAGAGAGTTGAGAGGCCGCACCTTGATGGCGAGACTCTTGAGGAATATCCGGTAGTAACTGAGTCCACCGAGAAGGCTCCGAAGCTGCTTAACATTCGTCGGCGGCGGCATGTGCGTGAGCGCCCTAACCTTGACGCCATCAGGGCTAACACCTGCCGGAGAGATGGTGTGACCGAGAAAGTTGGCGTGCGTGGCGCCGACGCGAGCCCTCCCTGGAGACAGTTTGAGGTTGTACTGTCGCAGTCGTTTGAAGAACTCGATCAAGTTCATCACGTGTCCCAGAGGTTCCTGATCGAAACAGATGACATCGTCCAGATAAGCAAGCTCACGCTCCTGACCGTGCACTACTCTGTTGATGACCTCGACGAACCAAGACGGACTTGCGTTGGCGCCCTGCGGCATCCGAAGCCATTCGAACAACTGCGTGGGAGTGCAAAAGGCGGTGAGCGGGACAGTGTCTTCATCACAAACGATCTGGTGGAAAGCCGAGTTGAGGTCGAAGATGGAGAACACTTTCCCGGTGTACAGAGAATCCAAGATACCGTCCACTCGAGGGAGAGGTTGTCCATCCAAATCTACCAGAGCGTTGAGACATTTGTAGTTGACGGTGATGCGAACAGATCCGTCCTTCTTGGGGATGACAACTAAAGGAGAAGCCCACGGAGATGTGGAATGTTGAATGAGCCCTGCCGCCAAATACTGGTCCAAAACGGCATCCACTTTCTTTTGCATCAACGGGTTGATACGATACGGGCGTGATGCAACGGGTTTCGTCCCTGCTGGGACAGAAAGCGTGAACGGCATTATGGTGCAGCAACCAAAATCGGTTTTCGAAGTAGAGAACACGTCAAATTACTCGACAAGGGCGTCGACCAAACGATCAATAGCCTCCGGTGCCCATCCCGGATTGTGTAAATCGAAAGCGATGTCGTGCATATGTGCGGGCAGCCTAGCCCACAAGAGCATGAAGCTAGAGCGCTGTGCCTCAGAGAAGCGGTCGAGTAGTTCTTGTGGACGCGGCTTCGGAGGAGGCGGGGCGGAGGCAAACGGCGTTGACCCGAGGTGGTGATGTAGATGTTGTGGGGCCGGTAGGAATCGAAGATGGTGCCGCCTTCAGGGGTTCCACCGGTACTCGTAGTAGCGGCGCGGCAGACACTCCAATTACGTCTCCCGGCTCGAGCTCGGCACAACCTGCAAGGGGAATACGCTGGAGACCATTGGAAACGAACTCATCTGGGGACGAAAGCGCACCCACTTCGGGTTTGAACAATACCAGGTACTCTCCAATCAGCGCAGGCATGCCAGAAGAACGAACGAGGTCCACCTCAACGAGTGCAGGCTCCGGCCCCAAAGAAATTCCCGAGCTCCCTGCATATTTAAGGTGAAACGAGGAGGTAGGAGCGTCGTCGTGTGTAGCGTAAACGCAAGCGCCAGCTGTAAAACGCGGAGAGAGCGTGAGCTCGCCCATAACCCGGCCGTCCGGTCCAGGGTGGGGGAGGGTGGTGAACACGCGAGAGTTGAAGCGCATCCAGCTATCACGACCCAGAAGCACGGCGTGCCCCATGGCGGCGTCTGGAACAACACAGGCCCAGACCGCCAAGGAAGCGGTAGCTCTATCTCCATGGAGAAAATTAACGGTGAGACGAATCGACCGGGTGGTCACAAGGGCGGGTCCATCACCAAACCCACCCCAACGACGAGAGGGCGAAACACGAACGCTGCCAGCTGTCAGGGCTCCGGCAGCTATCATGGCGGTGACCACGGAGTCGGAAACGAAGGATGCAGGAGACCCAGAGTCCAGAAGCGCCACTCGCGCGAGTTGAGAAGTGGCTGTAGGTCCTCCATGCAGCAGGGGCCGGGTGGTGTATGAGTCCGAGTCCAACAGGAGAGTGCCGCCGACCAGATGGGGCCCATGTTCGAGAAGAGGAGGCTGGTCTGCACAAGCGGAGGTCGATGCCACCAGATGAACGCCAGGAGCATGGTCCCCCGGAGCGTCCAAACGTAGCCAAGCTGGGTCTTCGCCCGGGTCCTTCCGCAGCGAAGAACCTGTAGCAATAGCAACCTCATGAATGCGTCGATGGCGATGGAGAGGAGGCTGCAAAATGGGAGGCGTGGGAGAATTGGAAGCGGGGAAATCTTCGCCAGACAGGGGATGATCACGCAAAAGGCGTCGAACTTCCATCAAAGCTTTTCCCAACAAGTGTTTACCGCTAGCCGCCCACTTGGATGAAACGCTAGCATCTGGAAAGCATGCAGACATGCCGATTCCCCAAACACGATCGAAGGGGCTGGCTTCTGCAAGGAGGCAGGTACACGCCTCCAGTAGATGATTCTCCATGTCATGGTTTTGAGCAAATTTGGCGTACGACCCCGTAAGCACGATCTCTTCACGACGACGCTCCCATTCAGCATAGTCGAAAGGACGCACATTTCGACCCAAAAACCTGTGTGTCTTAGGATCTGTTGCAGCCATAATTTTGTCATACGACGCCAAATCTCCAAATAACTTCGCTTTTTCAGACATCATAAATTACTCACCACATGAATAACGTACCCCCAGTACGTCAAAAGCCGAAGGAGGCTTTTGCGAAAACGCAGACGGAGGTTTCCAGAAAAGAAGGACGTCATCCGAAGCGTACTCGCACTTGTCATCAAACGGCGGAGCCGGCGCAGGGCGAAGGGGCAAAGAGCGGGCACCAGGCACAGGCGGGGGTGGACCAGGCGGAAGGGTCCTCTTCTTCGACGGGGAGGACCCAGAAAGCGAGGCAGGAGCGGGCGAAGTCGCAACGCTCCGTGATCCGGAGGGCGGCCTTAGGGCGGCGGCTCCTGCGGGGTCAATATTAGCGGAGGCCATTCGGCTATTATGGACCCGTTCGTTCGGAGAAGTCATTCCTGCAACAGAAGGATGTTTGATCATTGACGCAGGCCGCGCTTGACTACTCCCCCTTGACAAAAGAGCCGAACCTTCCACAGAATGGTGGGCACTACCATCCGATCCCGATGGCGGTGGTGCAGTCAGCACGTGGTGGGCAGCAGAGGAAGACGCATTCGTATCAGGTGCTGTCACACGGGGGCAGCGGACGGTCGAAGACAACGAAAGCTGCGAAAGAGAAGGAGGATCGACGGGGTTCCCGACGAGTGTAGAAGAAGGCTCGTGTGCGATCCGAGAAGAGGCCCGGCTGACAACACCAGGAGAGTCTTGACGAATAGTAGAAGACGAGGTTCTTGTTCCTTCTGTAACCCGAGACGACGAGGTGAGCAGGGATGGACCGCTCGACGTCTTACCTCCCTGTCGCCCACACCACAAAGGTACTGCCGAAATGGGTCTGTCATGTCCATTACCAGCAGGCAATGAGGCGGACGACGAGGAGGCGGGCCGAAAAACTAGATGTGATTTGGGAGCGTGGGGAGTATCCAAAGAAATAGGTGTTCACGAACATCTTGGGAGACTCCAAAAG